GCCCACACTGGCTCGCCTGCCGCTGCACGGAAGGGAGCTCTCCGGCAGAGACGGGCGGGCCTCCAGCCTCAGCCCTCGCAATTGCGAGGGCTGAGGCTGGAGGACCGCCCGTCTCTGCCGGAGAGCTCCCTTCCGTGCAGCGGCAGGAGAGCCAGTGTGGGCGTGTGTCCAGGCAGGGGGGGGAGTGTGTGAAGGGCAGAAATGCGGAGGCCCCTTTCCTACCTCCTGGACTCACGTCCAGCCACGGTTGTGAGTCTTAATCCCTCAACATGAATTAGGATATCGCAATGCACTCTTAGCTTCTTCCTCTTCTTCATTCAATTATTTTATTGGCTATTCTGTAGTTATACAATATGTCGTTCGCTTATAGGTACAATATTAATTTTTTTCTTGTGACATACAAGAAGAAGGAGGAGGAGAAGAAGGAGGAAGAAGGAGGAAGAAGGAGGAAGAAGGAGGAAGAAGGAGGAAGAAGGAGAAGTAGGAGGAGGAGGAAAGGAAGAAGGAGAAGCAGGAGGAGGAGGAAGAAGGAAGAAGGAAGAAGCAGGAGGAGGAGGAGGAGGAGAAGGAGGAAGGAGGAAGAAGAAGGAAGAAGAAGGAAGGAGGAAGGAGGAGGAAGGAGGAGGAAGGAGGAAGAAGGAGGAGAAGAAGGAGGAGGAGGAGGAGAAGGAAGAAGGAGGAAGGAGGAAAAAGGAGGAGGAGAAGGAGAAGAGGGGAGGGGGGGGGGAGGAGATTGGATTTATACCCCGCCCTTCACTTGGAGTCTCAGAGCGGCTTACAAACTCCTTTCCCTTCCCCTCCCCACGACAGACACCCTGTGAGGTGGGTGGGGCTGAGAGAGCTCTGACAGAAACTGCTCTTTTCCAAGGACAGCTGTGCCAGAGCTTGTGACTGACCCAAGGTCACATCAGCAGGTGCCAGTGGAGGAGTGGGGGAATCAAACCCGGTTCTCCCAGATTAGAGTCCGCGCACTTAACCACGACACCAAACTGGCTCTCCACCACAATCACACCATAGTAGTTGGGTTTTGGAAAAGTTCTTATTGAAACTGTACCGGATACTGATTCTGCATGTTGTTGAATATCTTAATGTATATTGGATTACTTCTTATTCTTAAAATATTGCATTTTTGATATATTTTGAGAAAAATCAATTAAAATTCAAATAATAAATAAAAAAAAACAAATGGGGAGGCCCTTGGCCCAAGTTTCCACTGATCCAAGGAACTTGTTGGGTGGTCTCTCAGCAGCCCACGGAGATTTTTGTTTATGGGCCAAGTGCCCCTTCTGGGGTCTTTCGAGGACACGGCCGAGAGGAGCCTGGTATGCCCCGGGGGCTCCTCGGAAGAAAAGGGGCCCTCTCCAGTCAGAAGGGAGCAGGTCGCAGTTCATCTCCCCTGAGCTGGGCATCCCGGGCTGGGCCCGATCCCACCGGCTCTTGGAAAACTAGGCGGGGCTTGGATGGGAGACCGGCATGCAAGGCCAGGGTCACCACGCACAGGCAGGGGACGACAAGCCACCCCCCCCCCCTCAGCCTTGCCTTGAAACTCTCCTGACGGCCCTTCCCACCCTACCCCCCCCCCACAAGTGACGGGAAAGGCCTCTCTCTGCCCGGGACCCTGGACAGCGGCTGCCGGTCTGAGTAGACGACGCTGACCTTGCTGAGCCGAGGGGGTCTGGTGCAGCCGAAGGCAGCCTCCTGTGCTCTTCTGCCAACAGCCAGAATTGAGACCAGGAGCAACGATCCCTCTAAGCTGCGGAGTCTTGTGAGCAGAAATCCTACTTTGTGAGCTCCTGGTATCAAAGGTGTGAGCGAGCGATTTGGCTATATTGCATCAATTGGTTTGCTCTGGAGCGACCTCCTTCCTGAGCCGAGACAAAAATGGGTGAGCCAGAGGCTAAAAGTAAAGATTATGGGAAGTGCGGAAATGGACAAATCGACCTTGATGTTAAAAGAACAAATGGAAGACTTTGTTGGACTATGTGGACTCCATTCTATAACTGGACAGGAGAGAAATATAAAGATATGTACGTCCTAATATCATAATATCAAGAAGCTTGTTATGAACTTTTAAAACCTCACAGTCTATCTCTATATAGTATGAAGTGATAAGTAGAGGAAAGTTATATGCAGAAGTCGTATTACTTTTGTTCCTTCCCCCTTTTCCCTTCCCCATCTTTGTGTATTCTAAAAACTTAATTTTTATTTTTTTTTTTGAGAGAGAGAGAGACCAACATTATTAGGGGGGACACGAGCTCTCTTTGTCAGAGCTTGGAATTGTCAAAGCTCACACTGTAAAAACCTCGCCAGTCTCTACAGTGCTCCTGGATTTGAATCCAGCTATTCTACTGCAGCCCAATGCAGCTCCCCTCTGAAACAGTCATTCTGTTAAACCTTTCTCAACCCACCAGAGCCTGGGCGGACTGGCAGGCTAGCTCTGAGGAGCGCTTCGGAGTCAGAAACACGCAGTGCTTCAAACCAATATCCCCTCTAAGCCAAGTGAGTGTGAGCTAGCTCACCGTTTTTGAGCCTCTGGCTCACACACTTCTGTCTCGGCTCAGGAAGGGATGGGGCTCCAGAGCAAACTAATTTAGGCAGGAGCCAAATCGCCTGCTCACAACTTTAATGCCAAATGGCTCACACAGTAGGATTTTTGCTCACAAGACTCCACGGCTTAGAGGGAGCATTGCTTCAAACGTGATAGAAGGAAGTCAAGAGCATCTAAAGGGACCTGGAAGACCGAAAACCCAAGAGCCAGCAATGCCAGCTAGCCCAACTCGAAGACATCCGGGGAACAGCAGGCTAGTGATTTTCAAGATGAACAAGCACAGCCGTGTGCCTTTGAGACGCCAGAAGACAGCCGGCCGCCCCCCCGCCCGCAATCACCTGAGGAGGATGTTGACCTTGGGGAACCCTTCCCAGTTCTGCCGGCACTCCGGGCACTCGTTCTTCTTGGAGGAGGTCCACCACAAGGCCAGGCAGTGCCTGCAGAAGCTGTGCCCACAGTTCAAGGTGGTCGGGTTGATCAGAATGTCGTAGCAGCAGTGGCAGCAGAACTCGCTCACGGAGATCTCCCGGCTGAAAACGGGGGCTGTGGCTGCCACCGCATCCCGCTTATCCGCTCCACTTGGCAGTTCTGTCCACTCCTCCATAGTCTGTCTCGAAGCAAGACGGGGCTCGGGCCTCTCTTAGATCACGCGGCACATTACCAATTCTGGAAACGGCAGGAAAAGGTGACTCAGCAGGGAAAGGTAACTCGGCTTCTCCTTGAGACGACACGAGACGACACAAGACAGGTCCCTCCCTAGCCTATTTCCTGCCTCCAGCCGCTGTGGTCAGAGGGTTCCCAAACGTTCCAAAATGTCCTCCCCTTCTCAAGTGAAAACCTTCAACAGTCCACATGCTATTTTCCTACTGAGACAAACAACCCCTCGCATACCTGCAGTCGAGTCAGAACCGCACGCATTTCTGGCCTGAAGAAAACACAATCTGAGAAAGAGAGAAAACAAGCCACTTAACAACGCATGAACCAAAAGACCTCACAAAAACACCAAGAGGGGGCAAAGAACATTTCTCTGCAAGTCGGCAAAGACTTCAGTGCATTTTGGAGCGTGTAGATGGCTCTTCCAACAGCTGAAAAGCAGCTCCAAACCAAATAACAATGATGTGATTGAGACCAGTATATGAAAAAAGCCGTCTATGCCCTTAGGAGCAGATTGTAATCATTCCTATAAAAGGGGAAAGCCCAGTGTTTAATACAATTACTGCAAATCCGGTTTCTTCTCCCAGTGAGTTTTATGACCATGAAAAACAATACTTTAATATTTCATTTTGTAGTATGTTCCCACCCTATCCATACAGAGCATGTACAATGCACACACAAAGTTGGCCAATGGCAAAATTCTCAGATGTGCATACAAACGGGCTGGCAACACTGAGTATACCTTCTGAACCACAAGAATACTCCTTCAAGGAGCAATTTATTTAAAAAGGGGGGGGGAGATGATGGGACTAGTGTTCCCTCTAAGCTGAGTTAGTGTGAGCTAGCTCACAGGTTTTAGCCTCCGGCTCACACATTTTTGTCTTAGCTCAGGAAGGATGGGGCCCCAGAGCAAACTAATTTACGCAGTAGCTAAATCACCTGCTCACAACTTTAATGCCAGGAGCTCACAAAGTAGAATTTTTGCTCACAGGACTCCACAGCTTAGAGGGCGCACTGGATGGGACACAGAATATCATACCCTGCTGTAGAAACTTCACTAGTCAACCTCCAGGTGTTCCTGGTTGAGCAGCAGCTACCCAGTAAGTCAAAGGAAGAACATGATGCTCTGTATGTCGGCTAGTTAATATAACATCCGCGTTTGGAGGCCGTGTGCTGTTGAATATCACAGTGCCAGGGACTAGTGAGGGCATTTGCCTAGACAGGCCCTTAGTCTGATTCAGCAGAGCTCTTCTTGAGAGCACGTGAGAGAGGTTTCACAACGTCATCCAGCTTGCAAGAGCCTCCGTGCGTTTGGCTTTAAGCAAAGATAAGCTGAAAAATGAAAAGAAACCTGGAGCATCGTTTTAAAAAGACTTTCAAGCAGGATAGGTCGATCTGAGGCCAGCAGCCCCTTCGAGACCAGCGAGCATAGAGGGAACTCTGGGTTTCTGGCTTCGTGCACACTGGCGCCACTGGACTCAAACCCGTCAATGTGGCCGGTCCCCAAGGTGCGGCGCTTCTCCTGCAGGCCAAGACGCCCACTCTCGGACCCCCTCTTCAAGCGGGGCACTCACTCTCAAGGGCTTCCAGGAGCAGCTGCTGACGCACAGGCCTGGCGAAACCCGGAACAGGACAAAGTGCAAGGGGGGGGGCAGGGTAGCACGGGTGTTATTTGACAAAAGGCACACTCCCCCTCCCTCCCGCCTTCCTCAGGGCCACCACCGACGCTCCCTCTAAGCTGTGGAGTCTTGTGAGCAAAAATCCTACTCTGTGGCTACCGGCATTAAAAGTTGTGCGCGAGCGATTTGGCTCTACCGCATGAATTGGTTTGTTCTGGAGTCACGTCCTTCCTGAGCTGAGACACAAATTGTGAGAGCCGGAGGCTAAAAAAACCTGTGGGCTAGCTCACATTCACTCAGTTTAGAGGGAACAGTGGGCCCCACTCCAGAAAGGCTGGTCCTTCCCTTCACCTATTGCTCCCCCCCACCCCACCCCTATGGCTCAGCTCCCAACCAGCCACCTTTGACTGCAATGAGACGCGGGGCGAGCCTGCAGGGCCTCCCCCCCTTTCACGTGTCCTGCGCCTCGTCTGAACCGGGCTGACACCCGTGCACAGCATCCAGGCAGCCCCTACAGCCGCCACAGCCCTCCCTCCTCGAAGGATAAACCGCCTCGGCCTCAGCCACCGCGCTGCTCCAGCCGGACTCCCGATCTCCGCCCTCCCTGACGAGCTACATTTCTGCTTGCAGGGAGTTTTTGCCCCAAAAGGGGGGAAGAGCCTTCAGCATGAAATACCCCCCCCCCAACCACCACCCTGCATGCCACCCCCGCCAAGCCCCCGCCCCCTGTGCGACCCCTGCTTCCCTCCGGCGCTTCGTGGACCCTGACCCGGCGGGCGGCGGCAGCGGCGACATCCCCCGTTCCTCCGGTCCAGCCCCGTCGGCATCCACTTCCGGCCGCGCCGGCGCACTGGCAGCCACTGACGCCACCGGCTCTCCCTCTTCCACAGGCGACCATAGAGCGAAGCCGGGGTGCGCCACGGAACGGGCCAGCGGCGCACTTCCGGTTCTGGAGGAGGCGGGGGGAGGAGCCATAGAGGTTGGAGGACGGCGGGGGGCTAGAGCGGTATTCTCAGGCCGCCTCCATGGCAAAGCCGAGCCGCAGAAGTCCGTTGAGAAACCGACAAAGTGTTTATTATCCTAGCAAATTGTTTTTGCAGTTTTTGGCCTCAGTGCGTCAGTTTCCCCCATGAGATTTACCTCCAGGATTAATTTGTAGATGGGGGGGGGGGGGGGCAGCCAACCCACAGCCTCCAGGTGGGACCTGGGGATCCCCCGGAATTACAGCTCAGCTTCAGACCACAGAGATCAGTTCCCCCCCGGAGCAAATGGATGCTTTGGAGGGCGGACTCTCTGGGGCACTGCACCCCCACTGAGGCGGTCCCTGTCCTCCCCAGGCTCCACCCCCAAATCTCCAGGAGTTTCCCGACCTGACATTGGCAACCCCACCCCACCCATCCCCTGCTGATGGCCAGGGCGGACCTGACAACCCTACCAAGCAGTGTTGCCAACTCTGGGTTGAAAATTCCTGGAGATGTTGGGGTGGAGCCTGAAGTGGGAGCGCAATTCTGGATGTCATGTAGGGCTGACGACCTCCAGATGGCAACAAACACACAGGGAACACGGCATAGGTAGACAGACATAAAGAAACACCGTGTTCGAACAAAACACACTCCACTAATATGCACTTGGTGTCTTCATATATTGATTTACATACAATAGAGACCCTGGAATATCTTGTACACATCCATTATAGTACAAAAACCTAAAGTACATTATATATCTACTAACAGAAAAGTTCACAGCTACAGAGACTTATTCCAGTGCTGTAGACTATCTTGCTCCTGATAAGAGACTGATGGAGGTTGCAACAGTCATAAATGATGAGAGATGCAGCCGGCTGTTATGTTCTCCACAAAAAGTGATTCAGCAAGCATCAAAGCAAGCAACACGCCTCCTAGGCAAAAATTGCGTGTTTCGACAGATTCTTCTTCAGGCAGACATATTTTTCCTGGAACCAAAGCTCACAATTTTACAGTGCATAAGTCAACTATTCTGTAGAAGGCTTCGAAACACGCAATTTTTGCCTAGGGGGCCTGTTGCTTGCTTTGATGCTTTGAGGCTGCCTGCTGCGTTTTTCATGCTTGCTTGCTTTGATGATTTGTGATGTAGGTTTGCCAATCTCCAGGTGGCAGACAATGGCTGCAGTCACACGGAGCATTAGCCACGCTACTGAGACGGATGATAGGCGGATTTTCCGGGCGCGATCACACCACAACATCTGGGAAGCGTAGAGCTCCCATGGCAAACCCGAGGCTTCCCGCCGAAGATGCGCAGTTAAAAACTAGTATCTCTGAGGTACTAGTTTCCGGTAACCGCGGGGCAAGGGCTGGCGTCTGATCGCGTTTCCGGTGGTAGTCCGTGGCATCCGAAGTCGTGGAAGCAGTGACAGACTTCACGTTCCTGGGATCCCAGATCACCGCAGACGGTGACAGCAGCCATGAAATTAAAAGACACCTGCTCCTTGAGAGGAAAGCGATGGCGAACCTAAACAGCACGATAAAAAGTAGAGACATCACCCTGCCAACAAAAGTCTGCATGGTCAAAGCAATGGTGTTCCCAGTAGTCATGTATGGCTGCAAGAGTTGGACTATAAGGAAGGCCGAGCGCTGAAGAATAGATTCTTTTGAACTATGGTGCTGGAGAAGACTCTTGAGAGTCCCTTGGACTGCAAGAAGAACAAATCAGTCAATCCTAAAAGAAATCAACCCTGACTGTTCCCTGGAAGGCCAGATAATGGAACTGAAGCTCAAATACATTGGCCACCCAATGAGAAGGGAGCACTCACTGGAGAAGACCCTGATGCTGGGAAAGACTGAAGGTCAAAGAAGACGGGGACGGCAAAGGATGAGATGGTTAGACAGTGTCATAGATGCAACGAACATGAAATTGAGCAAACTTCAGAGGACGGCGGAAGACCAGAAGGCCTGGTGTGATCTGGTCCATGGGGTGGCGAAGAGTCGGACTCGACTGTGCGACTGAACAACAAGAAGCCCCTTCCTTCCCGAAACCCCACCCTCCTCAGGCCCCGCCCCCCAAAATCTCCAGGAATTTTTGCAGGCTGGAGTTGGCGACCGTCCACAGCAGTCCATGGCAATACTACCTTCTCGATATCCAGTTAGGGCTCCAATGGTAGCAGCCAAATTGCTCGCTCACAACTTCAATGCCAGGATCTCACAAAGTGGAATTTTTGCTCACGAGACTCCACAGCTTAGAGGGAGCGTTGCAGTGTTCCTTCTAAGCTGAGTTAGTGTGAGCTAGCTCATACATTTTTAGCCTCCGGCTCACCCATTTTTGTCTTAGCTCAGGAAGGATGCCTCTGGAGCAAACTAATTTATGCAGCAGCCGAATCGCTCGCTCACAACTTGAATGTCAGGAGCTCACAAAGTGGAATTTTTGCTCACAAGACTCCACGGCTTAGAGGGAACATTGGCTGGGAGCAGTGTTCCCTCTAAGCTGAGTTAGTGTGAGCTAGCTCACAGTTTTTCAGTCTCCGGCTCACCCATTTTTGCCTTAGCTCAGGAAGGATGTGGCTCCAGAGCAAACTGCTTCATGCAGTAGCCAAATTGCTCGCTCACAACTTGAATGCCAGGAGCTCACAGAGTAGGATTTTTGCTCACAGGACTCCACAGCTTAGAGGGAGCGTTGGTCACATGGGGCCACTCCAGAGAGCTCCAGCACCTTGCTTTCCACCCTGGACAACAGCAGGGAGTCCTGGGCCTAGCCAGGCAGACCTTAAATCCGCCCTCCCTGCTCCGTCCTTGGACCTCGGCGTGTACTAGGGCTCCAGGTGGGGAAATACCTGGAGATTTTTGGGGGGTGGAGCTCGGGGAGGGCGGGGTTTGGGGGGCGGGGGGACCTCAGCAAGCTACAATTACCAAGCAGTCCACCCTCCAAAGCAGCCATTCTCTCCAGAAGAACATATCTCTCTAATCTGGAGACCTGTGGTAAAAGTGGGAGCTCTCCAGGTCTTCCCTGGAGGTTGGCTACTGTATCTGTTGCCATCGGACCCGCCACATCCTTAGAAACTCCACCCTAGGGCTGGAAAACACCTGGAGAGTTTGGGGGGTGGGTCCAGGAGAGGGCGGGGTTTGGGGAGGGGAGGGGCTTCAGCCTGGCACGAGGTCACAGAGTCCAGCCTTCCAAGCAGCCATTTTCTCCAGGGGAGCTGATCTCGGTCAGCTGGAGGTCAGTTGTAAAAGCGGGAGATCTCCAGGCCCCACCTGGAGGCTGGCAACCCTACCTTCCCCCCACTGCCCACGTGGGACTTCATGGTCAGCTAGCATCCTTACAGTCCTGGTGCACTGCCAGCTTTGGACCTCACCTCCTGCCTCCACCGGACCCACATCCTTGGAGACTTGGCCTCCCGCCCACTCTGGACCTCGCCTTCAATCCGCATCCTGGGAGACCTGGTCATCGGCAGTGTTCCCTCTAAGCTGAGCTAGTGTGAGCCAGCTCACAGTTTTCTAGCCTCTGGCTCACACATTGTCTTCGCCCATGAAGGATGTGGCTCCAGAGCAAACTGATTTATGTCGTAGCCAAATGGTTTGCTCACAACTTTAATGCCAGTAGCTCACAAAGTAGAATTTTTTGCTCACAAGACTCCACAGCTTAGAGGGAGCATCAGCCCGCTTTGGACCTTGACTCCTGCCTCCGGTGGCTCCCCTTGGAGACTACCCACTTCGGCCATCGCCTCCCACTCCGGGCACCCCTGACTCCTGGCACTGCCTGGCTGTCGAGGTGCTTACCCAGCTCTCTTGGAGTCCCCGGAGGAGTTTATCTAGGGGCTTCGTGAGCCTTCCAGGCCTCCCTTCCCCCAGCGTCTCTCCTACGTGGCTGGCCGGCTCCCGAACTAAACTTGGCTTCTTGGGGACGCTGGAGAAGTCTGGAGAGCTCATCTATTCTGAGCACAAACCCAGGCAGGCAGGTCCCCTTTTAGCCTGGTGGGAGGAAACTTGAGCTTTTAGGGAGGAATCGTCGCAGTCGCTCACAAAGAGTAGCGAGTTCGAGGGGAGCCTGTGATCCAGAGAGGGGACCACGTCTCCACGTGCCACACCCAGAGCGGCTGGAAGGAGCTCAGGATGGGGGTGGGAGCGCGAGGACTCTTGTTCATGGTCCTGATCCTGGCCGGGGTCTGTCTCCAGGGCACCCGGCTGCAGCAGGCCAGGCCTGGGGAGGCACGGAAGCCCTTCTTCGAAAGATTTCGGAGGCTCGAAGAGCAGGTGAGCCTCTCTCGCCCCCCCCCCAGGAGAGTTCCTCTGAGTGGTGGGAGTCAACAGAGGGTGTTCTGGCTAGGACGTGGCTGGTGGTGGACAGTTCAGCTGGGGGGGGGGAGGGTCGGATTGCTGGAACGGACTTTCCGAATCTGTTCAAACAACTTTCTGGTGCCGATATTGAAAATTCAGACTTTTTGGAGAGATGCATCTTGAAAAAGTTTTCAAAGGAAACTTAGATCTTGCCATCTCAAAGCTACACGGACTGAAACCACGAAGAAAAAAAGATTCAGGTGGGTCTGAAGCAGGAGAACCAAGTTTGAGTCCAGAGGCCCCTTTCAGACCCACAAAGCTTTACTCCGTGTGCCAGCTTTCGTGTGCATAAAACTTTGTTGGTCTCGAAGTTGCCACTGGACGCAAATTTTCTTCTCATGAAGGAAAAAAATTCCCAGTTCCATTCCCGATGCTAAAAAGGCATTTAAAAACCCAAAACATGGAATCATAATTATTTTGGTTTTGGTTTCAACTCTTTTCCTTCCCACCCTTTTAATTCCTGCCAACGTATTGTCTGTCCGCCCTCCCACAGGTGTTATTTTGGTTGGTCTTCTGCCCACGTTCTCAGACTTTGCCTTGATGATTTCTTCAGAGAGCGGCTCTCTTCCCTTTCACAATTGTAGCGGACCCAAGAGGCCCTCGTTCCGCTCAGCCGGCTAAATTCCATTTCGTGTTTGGCTGATGATTCGGTGCTCCAGATGCAAATCTAAGTCAGGTGGTCATTCTGGAGCCATGGTCAACCCGAGATCGCCAAAACCTGATCTGGCTGAGCGGAATCAACAGAACTGTGGCTCTGAATTCCCGAGATCTCCAAAACCTGATCTGGCTGAGCGGAATCAACAGAACTGTGGCTCTGAATTCCTCCGTATTGACCCAGCCTGCCTGGAGGGTGCAGTTTCCCCAGAGGCCACTGGGTGTCCCCCCTCCTTCGGTTATTTATGCAGTATGCATGGCACTGTACAGATAGACAGGTCCTTGCCCTGAGGAGCTTGCAATCAACCTTGAGAAAAGGGAGATTTACAGGGCAGTCCTGTTGGGAAGAAGAAGGAGGAGGAGGAGGAGATTGGATTTATACCCCATGGTCCTTCACTACCCAAAGGGAGTCTCAGAGCGGCTTACAGTCTCCTTTCCCCTCCCCCTCCCCTCAACAGACACGCTGGGGGGTAGGTGGGGCTGGGAGAGCTCTTTCGAGAACTGCCCTTGAGAGAACAGCTCTGAGAGAACTTGTGACTGACCCAAGGTCACACAGCTCGCTGCACGTGGAGGAGTGGGGACTCAAACCCGGTTCTCCCAGATTAGAGGCTGCCACTCCTAACACTACGCCAAACTGGATTCGAGTCCAGTAGCCCCTTAGAGACCCACAACATTTTTGCGGTATGAGCTTTCGAGATTCAACGCTCCCTTCCTCAGAGGGAGAGAACAGCCAAGACAACAAAGAACAGGGACGGAGGAAGAAGTGGGGATAAACAGGGGGAGATTCTCTGGAGTCTTCTGTGCACTTGCAAGATGCTAAATAACAAGGACAGAATGAGAGCAGGTGGCAGAGAACCCCTCGGGAGCTGGGGGCCTCTCCCCTGAGTGCCTTTCAGGAGTCTGAGGATCACAAGGCCAAACCAAAACACCCCGGGGGAGGAACAGGGACAGAGACAGGAACGTCAGCTTTTTTGTCTCTCTGTGCTTGGGGGTGGGGGTGGGATGGTTGGCTTTGAAGGCCCTGAAAACTGGGAAAGGGGAAACTTATTGGGCAGCTCCAGGTCCCGGTAAAGACGGGAGATTCAGAGGATATCAAGTAACCTGGGTCATCCGCCCAAAAAAACTCCCACCCACAACAAGCGAGGATAAATAAAGCCGTGCAATATTTTGAGAGAGCATCATGGTCTTTAGCGGGGACAGCGTGAGCAAGAGGCTGCGTTGCAGGAGTCCCAGAGATGTCCTCTGTGTTCCTGACAGCCAGACGGCAGTCCGGGATAATGTGAACATGTGTTGCTCTGCTGAAGGAGGCCTGTGTGGGCGGTGAGGGACCCTGACCCTCAGTTGGCTATCCCCCTTAAAAGCAGGGGGATCGGCAACTAGCGGAACGCATCTGTGTGCCTCTGCAGTCCAATCACCATCCCCCAAGTGAACTTTTCTGTGGGGAGGCCAGCCCTCTTAGACACCGGGCCCTTCTGTTCCACTCTAAAAGCCCGTGGGAGCCTTTCGTGATATGGAAGCCACCTCTCCAATGATCTTCCTTCGGAAGGTATTAGCACAACTGTTTCCAGATGACATGCATCGTATATATTTAAACTGGGACCAATGAGGATGGCGGCATGGGACCAATCTCATCAAATCTCGGAAGCTAAGCAGGGTCAGTACTTGGAAGAGAGACCACCAACGAAGGCTCTGCAGAGGAAGGCAAGGGCAAACTACCTCCTGCTGGGGTCTCCATAAGTCTCTTATCAGATCTCAGAAGTTAAGCAGGGTTGGTACTTGGAAGGGAGACCACCAAGGAAGGCTCTGCAGAGAAAGGTGATGGCCAACCACCTCTGCTTTTCAGTTGCCTTGAAAGCCCCTTGCTGGGATCACCATAACCCTAAGCTAAGCAGGATTGGTACTTGGAGGGGATGTTGTACGCACAGTTTATGAAACACTTTATACTCTGCCACTGACTAACAGGTTTGACTTGGTGGGTGCACGTAGCCCTTCCATGGTGCATATGTTAAGTGCCATTTATGCTTCTAGCATCATGAATGTATTCAGGTATGAACCTTGGTTCATTTGTGACTGTTGTTTGGATGCATGCTGGGAAGGTAAAATGCTGAAAGAATAAAAGGTTAACTTGCTATTTTTGCTGAGACTTATGGCCTTGGCCCACCAGCTATAACTGTGCATGTCTCTGGCTAAACGAAGAACAATGGCACCTTGTAAACCATATCAGCTATATAGATACTTTTAGAATTTTACAGTCTAAGAGAAAGAAACACGTATTGTTCAGCTAAAAGAAAAAAACTTTACTTGGGAAAGCCCAGCCTAAAAGGTTTTCCGCCAATTAGAGGCCTGTTAGGTCAGAGTGCTGATGTTTGATGGAACCTACCATCTTGTCCAATTTGTGTGCGTCATCCCGAGTATAAGATCCTATGTCACCCTTTGTAACACTCGAAGAGTCTGTTGGGTATTCAGGGGTTCCAAAGCCTTGAGTTTGGTGTAGTGGTGAAGTGCGCAGACTCTAATCTGGGAGAACCGGGTTCGATTCCCCACTCCTCCACTTGCACCTGGCTGGATGACCTTGGGCAAGCCCTAGTTCTGATAAGAGCTGTTCTTGAAAAAGAGCCGTTTCTCTCAAGAGCTCTCTCAGCCCCACCTACCTCACAGGGTGTCTGTTGTGGGGAGGGGAAGGGAAAGGAGTTTGTAAGCCGCTCTGAGACACCTTTGGGTAGTGAAGGGCCATGGGGTATAAATCCAATCTCTTCTTCTTCTTCTTCTTCTTCTTCTTCTTCTTCTTCTTCTTCTTCTTCTTCTTCTTCTTCTTCTTCTTCTTCTTCTTCTTCTTCTTCTTCTTCTTCTTCTT